TTTGAAAACTTACCTTTTTGACATGCTTCACAAAGAGCATCTGAGGTGAACTTCAACTTAGGAAGTCCTCTGACAAGATTAAGTTTATTAATCTGAGATATACGTCTCATATTAATATGCCCTAATCTTCTGTGCCAGACCCATTGCTCCTCATTAACAGACAAGAGGCATTTAACATTCTGAACCTTAAGTTCTGAAAGATTTATTTTATAAATGTTGTTCTTCCTCTTTCCACTAAATAGGATTGAGCCATCCTTTTGACTAATAGCTTTACAACATTTTTTATTAAAGACTATGTCATAATCATTGTCATTTAATTGACTTATAGACAATAGATTATGCTTTAATCCTTCTACAAGTAAAACATTAGTAATAGAGGGAAGGTTACCATTTCCAATAGTGCCAGATCCAATGATCTTGCCCTTCTGATTCCCTCCAAATTTCACGTCACCTCCAGATCTAAGCTCCAGACTTTGGAACATAGATCTTTCTCCCGTCATATGTCGCGAGCATCCAGAGTCCAGGTACCATGACTGACGTCCTGACCTTGCTGCTAAGAACATCTGCAACAGGAACTATTTTACTCTTAGGTACCCAGATCTTCTTGGGTCATTTTGGGTTAGTTGTTCTGAAGGTTCGTCTAAACTTCTGTTTTTCAACATAGGGTTTATTCTGACTAGCCTTAGATTTAAACACATGAATGTTCTTTTCAGAACGAGTGTGTTCAATATCATTCAAGTGACCAAATTTAAAATTGGAATATAAAGGAGTCTTCTTGATGATAATTTTATCAACAGGTTTTGGATTTAAATCAGAGGAAGATTTATATCCAATTCCTTTTCTGTTATTTCTGCTAACTCCATAGATCATAGAAGCCATTTTGCTTCTGTCTATGCTTTTAGCAAGAAACTTCTGAAAGCTGTAGTCATACTTTTCCAAAATATTTTTGCATTCAGACTCAGTTTCAGAATCAGAGTCTTGTTGAGCTAATTCAAAATCATTTTTCATTTTTAAGTTCTTTTCATTTAGCTCAGCCACTTCTGATTTGAGAATATTATTCTCAGATACAAGATTGCTTTGACGCTCCTTGTATTTGAGCTTAATATTATTATAGCTCTTCAGAACCTCTGATAACACTTTGATAAGTTCATCTTTAGTGAGTTTAGCCATTACCTCTTCAGCGTCAGAGTCAGATTCAGAACCTGAAATTCCTTCCTCCTGATCTTCTATGTCTGCCATCAATGCTACATTGGTACATTCTTCTTCCGCCTCAGATTCAGATTCAGATGTATCTGAATCATCCCAGGTTGCCATTAGAACCTTCTTCTTCTTATCAAATTTTCTTTTAGGCTTTTCTTTCAGAAGCTTTGGACAATCATTTTTGTAATGCCCAGGTTCTTTACATTCGTAGCAGACAACCTCCTTTTTGCCAGATCTTCTGTGTCTAGAAGATTCCTTTCTTTGGTCAGGCTTCTTAAAGTTTCTAAACTTCTTTCCTTTATGCTTCCAGAGTTTGTTTATTCTTCTGGACAGCATGGATAATTCATCTTCATCTTCAGATGAGGATTCTTCAGAGCTTTCCTCTATTACCTGCAACGCTTTAGCAGATTTATTAGATTTTAAGGCAATTGACTTACCTTTCTTTTGAGGCTCATCTTCCTCAAGTTCAATTTCATGGCTCCTTAGTGAGCTGATTAGTTCCTCCAAGGAAATCTGGTTCAGATCTTTAGCCATTTTCAGCGCTGTCACCATAGGTCTCCATCTGGTAGGTAAACTTCTGATGATCTTCTTCACGTGATCAGCAGTAGAGTAACCTTTATCCAGAACCTTTAGTCCAGCTGTAAGTATTTGAAATCTGGAGAACATGGCTTCAACAGATTCAGCTTCTTCCATCTTGAAAGCTTCATACTTCTGAATTAGAGTCAGAGCCTTTGTTTCCTTGACTTGAGAGTTTCTCTCATGAGTCATTTTCAAGGACTCAAACATGTCAAATGCAGTTTCTCTATTTGTGATCTTTTCATACTCAGTGTGAGATATTGAATTTAGCAATATTGTTCTAGCCTTGTGGTGATTTCTAAATTCCTTCTTTTGGGCTTCTGTCAGAGATTTTCTATCTACTTTCTTGCCATTCCCATCAATGGGATGAACATATCCATCTATGACTAAATCCCATAAATCAGCATCATAACCAAGGAAAAAACTTTCAATCCTGTCTTTCCAATAATCAAATTTCTCCCCATCAAACATAGGGGGTTTAGTACTGATTCTGTCTCTTTCTTCATACTTGTTAGATGTTGAAACATCAACCATTATAAACAACCAAATATAAGTATCAAAGTTTTTCTCACTGGATTTTTTCTGTCATTGTGAAATGGTAGCACACACAGAACCGGAGCTCTGATGCCAACTGAAGGTGAGAAAATACTTAGAAGGGGGGAGGGGTTGAATAAGTATGAAGATAAAACTTAGAAGTAAAAACTCAAGTATTTTTATCCTGGTTCGTTGAACTCAACTACTTCAGTCCACCCTATCTAGAGTGATTTGCCTTTCTCAAACAAGGATTTAATCCACTATTTAATCAACTGATTACAATAGTAAGCACTAAGAACAACTGTTCAAAATCTTCTTAAGAACTACTGATCCCAACTGGATCTTCTTAAGAAACTATTACAATAAAATGTAAGATTAATACAAGTGTATGAATGCTTCTAACAAGCTTTATCACAACAATGATTTTTCACTTAATGTTAAGAACAAAAGAATAAACTTAGCAATAAGAATATTTTATGAGAGCTTGTAAGAATTTCTTTCAGAGATTCGTTTGTTGTTCTAGATCACTTTGAAGAAGATGAGGAAGACTTGCTTTTATATGCACAGTAGTCCACAAAGTCTTGACGTTGGAGGCTGTGTACTGAAAAGACCTGAACCTTTTTGTCTATACATCACATGACCTTTCCTGGAAGTAGAATGCACAGAGAAATGCTTTTGGTCTGTGTTCTAGTGTCAAGCATGAAAGAGGAAAGAGTCGTTGAGCCAAATCAAAGGATATTACTTTGAATTCTTCTTCAACAAGTATTTCTTTTCAGCAAAGTTAACCATCAGATTTTGCATGATCAGAGTCTTGAATACCCATCAGATTTTGCTGAATCAGAGTAATGCAGCAAGTGTGCTTTAGCGTGTAGTTCTATCAGAGCAGAGTTTTATGAATCAGATCCTCAATACATACATCGTGTAGTACTCTCAGAGTCTTCTGAAAAACTGTGCTTCTTAACTCTCATACAAAGTTCTTCAATGCTTCAGAGTCTTCAGATCTATTAGAGTTTTCTGCTTCAGATCCTTCTGCAGCTTTTGCTTCAGATTTTTCTGTAGCTTCTGCTTCAGATTTTTCTGCAGACAGCGCTCAGATTCTTCTATAAGATGATTCTAACTCTTCAGAGCCTTCCATAGTTTTTGGATGTATATATACTTTAATTATCTGCAGCAAATATTCATGAACCAAATTTAGAGTATATAATTCTTTAATACAAAATTTCATAAGAGTTATTATCAAAACATAGAGATATTACTAAGAAACAATCTGTGTTCTTACACAAATCGTTTACGAAGCTTCGTTCCACCGTAACTTCCACAATCTTCTCCATTTCTAACTCCGAAAATGAACAAAATACATTATTTACAAAATATGATCAAATAAGATATAATCACTCTTCCAAAGATATACACATTAAAAAATGTCACAATTACAATATTCAAAAATGTTATCTCCCCTTTATTTTTAGCTTGAAAAAACAAATCTGAATCTAATTTAAACCAACCATCCCCGTTTCAAATTAAATGGAGAAAGTCAATTTAATAAGACGTGGTTGGAAAAAAACCTCAATTTTTAATTATAGTGGATATGTGAGACTAAGGATGCTGATACCCATCCCACACCCACACCCTCCTGCCATATTAGATTAATTTGATTATTCTTATTTTTTATAATTTTATTACTCACTTATACTTTATCTATTAATCTTAATATATCAAATTTATTAAAATTATAAATTACAAATTAAATAAAACTAACAAAGTATTATAATTATTATCAAAATTTAATTATTAATTTTTATTGTTATAAAAAAATATTTAAAAATTACAATTTTATCGATTTAGTACAGAATAGGACAACGAAGCCGTTCCCTGTTGGATTTAGAGCGGAGGCAAAGATGTTACAAGAAAGCGGGGGCGGGAGTGGGTCTAACGATGCTTAATCTCGTCCGCCCGTTGGCATGCCTACTCCATTCGGTTATTTATAACAACCTCTTCTTCATTTCGTATGTTTGTATTTATTACATGTAAGAATTAGGTGTTGAAATTTGAATGATGTCATTGTTAGGCTTAATGTTATTTATTGATAGTACTTTTTTTGGTGTCTAACAAACATTCAGTTTCCAATTGATACAGTTTCATATATGAGTTGCTGTTGGTTGTGGACATTTTTTATTTATAGGTTGCTTCCACTTAAATTTATGGATAGATTTATACGTTTTAAGTCTAGTCTCTTTAACTGAATTAAATTCCAATTGCTAGCATATAATTTATTTATGTAAAAAAACTATTGCAAATATATGAAATAAATCAATACAATAAAATTTTAATTCATATGTACCGAACAGTGTAATTTAACCACAATTATTGATTTAAGTAAAATATTTGACTTTTATTTTAACTACTTAAAAGTTAATATCAACGAATAATCGTGATATATTAATAGTATAAAATTTTTTACACTGACAGTGCATAACAATTAATCTCATACATGTATAATCAAAATAAACAATAGTATCATTCATTAACTAATAAAATATTACATTTAATAATTTCAAAATAATATCAATACGAAAAAACATATTATTTATTTTTTAACATAATTTTTTTATTATCAATTAAACTACAGGGTTTTATGACTCTCATCATTCCAATCACCAATCTAATTTTTCTAGCATTTATCCAATTGCTTAATTTAAAAGGGGCTCTTTTTTATCTTCCCATTTGTTCAACCTCTGGACTGATGCTTCCACCTACAAAAAGGATAAAGTTTTTTTATTAGAAATTACCAACCACCCTCCAATTTCCAATACTCTCTCTAATCATGCAAATAAAATTATTTTCCTTTGTTTTTTTACCTCTTTGTTCCAGTCAGTTCTAAATGTGACCCACATCAGAATAATTGTCTGCATAGAAGTTCCACCAAGCATCCCTAGCCATATTCCCTGTCACACAAAGATTTCATGTCATTAAGAATCTTATAATTGAAATAAAATCCAAAATTTTATATGAAATAAAAAAATATATATTTACCTTAGCACCAAAATTAAAATAAAAGCCTAGAATTGCACCCAATGGTATACCAGCTATATAATAACAACCCACGTTCACATAAGCCACGAAAGCTTGCCATCCACAACCAACAGCAACACCTAACGTTCCATTCATGTCAAATTTATTAGTTGCTAATTAAAGGGTTAGTAAATAAACAAAAAATTAATTACTATTTACCAGATAAGACAGGTTGAATGCCATTGAGGACAAGAGAAACAGCGAGGAGTGGACAAAGATCTGAGACCGCGGCTGCCACGGCTTCACCCTCCGTGAAAACATAGCTGATAACATCTCTTAATGCAAGCACAACTATCGCAGAGATTATCGATACTAAAAATGATATCAATGTCACCACTTTCACCGAAAATGAAGCTGATCTTGGATTTCTTGCTCCTAGTTCGTTGCTCACCCTCACACTGTACATGCTCAAACATGAGACATGACACTAATACTATATACTCAGACGTCATACATTATACTTATATGCTCGTACATCAGACACGACACTGACACTATACATACATACATTATATATTATACGTATAGGCTCAAACATCAGACATGACACTGACACTATATATACATACATTATACATTGTACGTATATGCTCATTATACATTATACTAATATGCTTATACGCGCATTGATACAAATTATACAAACTAGTAAATAAGTAGAATCAAACCTTGCAGCTGCATTGAATCCAACTGAGATCATGAACACCCATCCAAGAATAGTGGTGCTGCAAAGAAAATGGTCGTATCAAAATGATCCAAAGATATTACCAAAGAACAAGTTGAGTAACTTTACCAAATAGAAAGAGAATCAAGAGCCAATTCTGGCTCAGGAAGAAGCCCTGCAAGCAAAACCAGAATCTGAAAATACCAAGATTCAAGACACAGCATAACCGCGGAAGCCGCCGACAGTTTAAAAAACTCCGGCAACCCCGAAAACGCCTCCACCGTAAACCCATTCCACGTCTTCTTACACTTTTCACTCTTCACAATATAAACAAACTGAGCAACAACAATAATCCACCACGACAAACTCAAAACCAACGAAGCTCCCACTAATCCCAACCCAATCTTAAAAACAACTAGCCAACTTAGTACAAGATGAACCACCAATGTTGCTGCTGAAATGTATGCACTTGGTAGAACTATACTCTGTGCTTGAAGAAACTTGGAAATCGGAAAGTTTACCGCATAAGCGAATATTTGTGGGATAAGTCCGTAAACGAAAAGCGCGGCGGCAGAAGAGATTCTTGGTGATTGTCCTATGGCTATTAGAATTGGTTTGCTTAAGATATAAATAACCGTTAGGAATAAACCGGTTATGGTTAGAAGAATTGTTGATCTTTGTAGATAAGTTCCAAGCATTTCATATTTTTCTGCTCCATATGCTTGTCCACATAGTGTTTCCACTGCACTTCCCATACCCAACTGTCACAAAATTTATTATTAATAATAATTAATTATCAAATTTAATATTATTAAAAGTTATCTTAATTATAATTAAAATTTGTAACATATCAAAGTAACAAAAGAAATATATTTAATTTTTAAAATATTTTTAAATATTTTATTTTTGTTTATTTTTGACATTAAGATAATTCCACTTCATATAGTAACAACAATGATAAATAATAATAATAATAATAATAATAATAATAATAATAATAATAATAATAATAATAATAATAATAATAATAATAATGAAATATCAAATTCCATGATATTACTATTTAAATCTAATTATTTTTAATTAATATTATAAAATAATGATTAAAAAAATGACTACAGTTGGCACAATAAAGTAACATAATTTATCAAGAACTAAATATAAATAAAAATGAATCAAAAGTTAAATGTACTTTTCCTAAATTTCAAAAAAAGATAAAACATTTGACTTTTATTTAATTTTTAACTTCTTTATTTTAAAAGTTCTAGAATGATATGATAAAGTTTCTTTCACCATAATCATAAATCAATTTGCTTTCAAAAAATAATCAATTCATATTAAATGAAATAAAAATTTCACCTCTAACTTTGACATTAAGATAATTGAGTGGCATTATTTAAATACCTAAAAATTAACTTATTCCAACACTATATAAAAATATATCATTTACAATTAATAAATAAACATAAAAAAGAAAAAAATATTTAAAAAATAAAAATATATAAGGTGTTGGACCTAAAGTAATATCACCTAACATTTCTCATGATAATTTTAAGATTATATAATGCTAAAGACTCTGTTAAATTGTGATTTTACGTGTAAGATTGACAAATTTATGGTGCTAATTTAAAATCAAATTTTTAAATAATGAGTTACAATAAAAATGTACCATAACTATAACAATTACAACAAAATAATTTACCATGATAATAAAATTTCTTTTGATATTATCAAATTTTAAAATATTTTATCAGGATTATGGTTTATTTTTCAAACCATGTTAATTTTTTAAAAAAAATTATAAGAAATAATATCATTTTGTTAGAGAAAAAAAATAAATATTTAATCCGTTGATTTTTCAAAATCGTCTATTTGTTGATTTTTATTAATTTTGGCCGATTATAAACGATTTTTACTAGTTCAATAATTTATCCAATCTAACAATTAGATCAGACCAATAACCTTTTTGATTATCAATTCAATTGATTTCCTTTGCCTATTCAATTCAATTTTTAAAAGACTAAATTGAAGTTTCATCATCACAGTTTACCATTATTTTCTACAATATCATGAATCACAAGCAACACAAATTTGTTTAGATTGATAAATTTGATATTGAAGAAAAAGTGTAATTAAAATAATTTAAGTTTTATTACTAGATAGCATTACGAATGAAGTGAAATAAATTATAATAGAATCCTTTTCATTTGATTCCATCTAATTTAAAAACCTTATAATAAAAATAATCAAACAATTTATTTTATCATGCTTAATTCCACTAAGCTTCTTCTAGTCCATCAATTTAACCATTATCTATATATCAAAACAAGTGAAGTCAATTCTTACCATGAGGCCATAAGCAAATATCTGAATACCGGTGTTCCCGAGCGACGCGGCGGCGAGCTCAAGGTTACCAAGGTGGCCGGAGAAGATTTGTGTGGACATAGACATAACATAGTTGATGAGATAAACAAACACAGCTGGAGCGGCTAAGAAGAAGAGCAGTTTAAGCTCAATCCACGTGGCGGAACGGATGCGGCGGAAGTATGGCACGGTGGTGTCCGATAGCACTCTCTCAAGCTCGCCGTCAGATTCATGGTGCGTCGGTGGCGCATCGCTTGCCGGTAATAAGAGTGGCTCTTCAGCAATTGTTTTGTTCCTTGAATCCATTTGAATTATGGCTATGGGGTAGGTAACCTTACAAATGAATGGTTTATATATAATAATGAACTTATGCTACTCCATTCTCAAACTTTTTTTCTTTTATTTTATTTATTTATTTATTTTATTTGAACATCTCAAACTTTTTTATTTGAATTCACTGAATAACTGTATAAATAATAAATATAATATTAATGTTTTTTGTACTGGTATTGTCCGTTTTTTTAACTTTTTTTTTGTCTGTGAAAGGATATGATATTATTATTATTATTATTATATTTTGTTTTTTTGCATATATATTTTTTCTTTTCTCGAGGAAAGCATGGCTTGTATTTTAGTATCATTTGTTTTAAGACAACCAATGCTTAGTTCTAAGAATATATTTGAATGAGATTAATTATTATGTATGGATAGGGTAAAAAGTTTCATACCGTTAATTTATTACTATTATTTGTTTCTATTATTTTATAAATTATTAAAATAAAATTCAATTTTTTCTTATATTTAATGTTTATAACAAACTTAATAATATAATTTTTTTTAGAGTCAATGTATTTTAATTAAATTCTATTATTATTTTATAAATTATTAAAATAAAATTCAATTTTTTCTTACATTTAATGTTTATAACAAACTTAATAATATAATTTTTTTTAGAGTCAATGTATTTTAATTAAATTCTATTTAAATTTTTTATTAGATATGCAATATATTTAGTTTATTTTTTGAATTAAATAATTAAACTTTAATTAAATAAATTATATTGTTAATTAAATAAATTAAACTTACTCTCTTGTTTTTTTATTCTCTGCTTTGTGATTTTTGTTTGTCTCAAATATTTACTTTTAAAAAATGTATGCAAATTTATTTTATTTACTATTAATTTATTATTAATTATTGAATTTTATTCAACTAATTGCTATAAATAAAAATATCTTAATAAGTAAAATTAATTTATCCCTTTAGTTAATATAATTATGTAACGGTTTTTTTGTTTTTTTTAATAATTATTATTAATAATAAAAAAAAACCAATTTTAATTTGGTCTATAGTTTTGTGATTTTGATTATGAAAAGAGTATGATTTATTTTGATATGACCATTAATTGGATGATAATGAGTTTTAGTGGCTTTAAATTCTTGATGGTAGAATCAAGCATATTAATAGTCTTTGGTTCCCAAAGCTTTCTCTCATTACAATAAAAAATACACCATCTATAGTCCTCATCCATGGCATTCATGAATGTTACCATTAGGCTCTCCTTTGTTAAATTGTATTTTTATTCTGTTTATATACATATGACTTTATTTTATTGATTATTATGCCTTATTATTTATTTAATTTTTGAATTAAATTTGTGCATAAATTGAAATTGATTTATAATATTATTATTAAGTTAAACAATTGTACGAGAAATCTTATTTATTTATTTTTGTTCTCTCCCATAATTGAGTTATTATGTCTAGTGATCGTTATAATTAATTTAGATTAGCCACAACATCCTTAAATTAATTGAGATTATTTAAAGTTTTGAGATAACATAAATTATTAGACATAAAATTGTGATTAATTATACGTGGTGTAATGAATTTTATCCTACAAGAATTTTTATTATATTTGTATGATTAATTAGGATAAAATGTCGAATTATTTTCATAACTTGCCCACAGGAATTATGAATTGGTACATAATTTGATAGTTTTATCATAAAGTATTAATTTTGGATAGAAAAACAAAATTATTTCATACACTTAAAATGTGAGGTTGTGTATGTAGTTTGAAAAATCTATCGCAAAATATTTTAAATCTTATTACATTAAAGTTTAGTCCACAGATAATTTTTATGTTGCAAGATTTGTTTTATGGTATGTTTATATTGATAATACATACAATTTGGATAATATTTATGCCTCAAATTTTGACATCAATTTTTTTTTTAGCTTCTCAAGTTGCTAATTCTTTTGATATCTGATGTGATATTCCCGAGCTCAGAGGAGATAACTATAAGGTGTGGAAGGAAAGAATTCTCCTCCATCTAGGATGGATGGACATAAATTATGCTATTAGGAAAGACGAACCACCTGCAATTACAGATGAAAGTACTCTAGCTGCAATCACACTATATGAGCGGTGGAAGAGATCCAATCGGCTCAGTGTGATGTTCATTAAGACTAAGGTCACAGGTGGAATACGTGGTTCTGTCGATCAGCATGAAAATGTCAGTGATTTGCTAAAAGTCATTGACGATCAGTTCGTCACTTCTGAAAAGGCTTTGGCAAGCACATTAATTATGAAATTTTCCTCCTACCGACTCACCAATGTGAAAGGTGTGTGTGAGCACATAATGAAAATGCGTGACATTTTAGCTCAACTTAAGAAACTTGAGGTTGATATGTCTGAGTCCTTCCTGGTGCACTATATTCTGAACTCTCTTTCGTCTGAGTATGGACCTTTCAAGATCTCCTACAATACACACAAGGATAAATTATTAATCAATGAATTAATGACCATGTGTGCTCAGGAAGAAGAAAGGCTTGTAATGGAACAGAGTGAAAGTGCATTATAGACAAGCACTCGCGGGAAGAACAAAGCTTTCAAAACGGACAAGTCTCAAGCCAATCAGAAGGGAAATTCAAAATACCACCGCAAGGTGATATCAAGAAAGAAGCAAAGTGTTACTTCTGTAAAAAGGGAGGACACATCACTATGCCAAAAAAGATTTTTAGCAGCGCTTTTTTTGGCCTTTAGCAGCGCTGCCTAAAGTGGCACTGCTAAAGGTAAAGGCAGCGCTTTTTTTATGGAAAAAGCGCTGTTATAGGCTCCCTTTACCAGCACATTTAGCAGCGCTTATTTACCCCTTTAGCAGCACTTTTAGAAGCGCTGCCTATTCCCCCCTCCCCTCCCCCCTTTAGCAGCGCTTTTAGAAAGCGCTTTCTTAGACCCCCTCCCCTTTAGCAGCGCTTTTTTAAAGCGCTTTCTTAGACCCCCCATTTTAGCAGCGCTTTTAGAAAGTGCTTTCTTAGAACCCCCCCCCCCCTTTCCCACCTATAACAACGCTTTTTTGAGCACTCTCTATGCCCCCTTTAGCAGCGCTTTTTTGTAAAAACGCTGTCTAATCTTCACGATTTAAATTTTTTTTTTAAATAATCACATTTTTTATATATTTTTCGATAAACCTGCTTATAACAATTACATTCCCTGCTTATAATTCAAGCCTTTATTTCAACACTTTGACCTTATATATACATTATAATTTAACACTTTGGCCTTATATATACATTATAATTTAACACTTTGGCCTTTAAGTATACATTGTAATTCATCACTTTGTCCATAATCATTTTAATACACATAAACCTGCTTAAATATATTACAACACAATCCGATCCTCAGAATTACAACATCACAAATACAGTCAATTTACATATAATTACAAATCCGTTAACTTTACAAATAGATACGACTTCCAGAAATATTATTATCCCGCATCAATATTGGATGACACATATACCTTATACAATTCTTAACTCAAGAATAAATTGACACCATTCCTCCTTTATTTCTTCCAATCCTGCTTTCGAGTAAGTACCGCACTTGAATTCATCAAAGTACTACATAATATAACAGAACATGCACGATTTAGTTTTAAAACTAATTACTCAGATGAAATATCGGTTAATTATCAAAATGAATCATATAATTTATGAATTGATCCATACCATGATTGGAATCTCTATTTGACTAGAATGAATAATTTCCTTCATAAAGCGTAATACAAAATATCTGCAGTCAATTCCATTGCGCTGACGAGGACACTGTAAATGGAAAAAACAAACGAACATTTATCAGGATATTAGTTTTATCAAGTAGGACCACTATAACAGTAAAAAATAGGAAAATATACCTGCACTCTGATCCAGCTAATGTTGTTAGCCTTGCTTTTTGGCACTGTTGCTTCTCTTTGTGCTCTGAATATTTGTATAGCTCTAACATAATATAAACGCATATTTAGAACAATGTCACATAATAAATAAAGATATATAATTATTCAGAACAATATATCTCATCACTTACGTATCAATCATATTCTTCATATCAGGATATTTTGTTTGATCGTCATCCAATGAATCCAGATAATACACTATTTCTTTCATCGATTAATCGCGACCAACAACCAGTGTCCACTATAAAATGAGACAACAGTTTAGGCGGAAATGTTATATAGAATGGCAAAAATTGAATAATTATAATAAATGAATTTAGAATGAAGTCTAACCCATGGCCAGTATTATATGGCAAGAAGAACAACTTCTCTATAGTCGCGACCATAAATCTTTGGACTATGTAATCTTTGACTACATCTGGTGTGTGATCTATTGCCCGTGAGTTGATACAGCTAGCAGATAAGAATGTGAATATTGAAGTCAAATCATGCGGAACCAACAACTTGGCATACAAGAGCCTAAAAGAAAAACATAATCAACATTAGAATATCCAGTTAAATGAGCAAAATTTTCAATTTTCAATTATTTAATTAAAATGGATCGGAGTACCTGATGTAGGAATGCATAACACCGATGCCCAATTCAGAATGTTAGAAAATCTGGTCCAAATCCTCCTTAGCAATTGTTTCGGTATATTCAAAATCGAAAAATACCTTCCTCCATAGGTATTTGACGGATGCCACCCTCAGCCACATCTGTTGTTCCTACATATGTATCAAGGCACAACCTAAATCGAGGAACATATGCTTTTTTTGGCTCGACATTTTTTTTGTTGGGCAACTTGGAAGATTCAGGCATCTTACCCTTACTGACTTGTTGCAACTGTTGATCATGAACCTAAAATTCATATAAGTTCAGTAATTAATGTATAATAAGATAATCATGTAACTGTAGTAGTACCTGTTTCTTTGATGCAGCTGAATCGGTTTCCCGCACAATAACTCTCTTATCTTTTGATTTGGATTTCGTATGAGTCTAAGATCATCATGTAAATAAGAAAATGTA